TGAAGCAATTTTGAATTTCAAAAAATTTCACCCAATATAAAATATGATTTCCTATACATAAAAAGGAAAAAAATATCAAAAATTTTTGTGATCATCATTGACATTGAAAGCATAATATCAACTTCCATTTTCAAATTAAATCCGTATATAGCTACGTACGTACGTAGAACATTTTATCAACTTTTTTAACTCAATTAAATAAAAACGTTTTTAATTTTTTCTGATTATACCCGTACGAACGTATGTTCGAAGGGTATACTAAATTTGCCTTACCGTTTGTAACGCTAAGAAATAACGGTGTTAGATATAGACTCAAGTGTATGTTTTTGATCAGCGTCAAATTCTGAGTTGATTTAGCTTTGTCTGTCCGTCCGTCCGTCCGTCCGTCCGTCCGTCCGTCCGTCCGTCCCAACGATAACTCAAAAACTAATTGAGCTAAGTTCACCAAATTTTCACAAATGATTTATTGTAGTAAGTGCCAGAACCCTATTTAAATTGGACATGATCGGGGTACCGGTTCGGGTAGCTGCCATACAACTTCAAAATTTATTTGGCTATATCTCAGAAACTATAAAAGTTGTGGTATTGAAATTTCACACAAACGAATATATTAGTAGGGCCATTATGCCCCATAAAAGTCGTTGAAATTACTTGGCTCCTTCTGGTACCTGCCATACAACTTCAAAAGTTATTTAACTATATCTCAGAAACTATAAAAGCTGTGATATTGAGATTTCACACAAGTGAGTATATTAGTAGGGCCGATGTGCTTGATAAAATTCGCTAAAATTTCTTAGCTCTTTCTCGTAGCTGCCATACAACTTCAATAGTAGTTTAGCACAACTGGAATTTGGAAAAACACATAGTACTGAAATTTTGCATAAATTAATATGGTAATACGGCAACTTAAAGTCATAGTCTGCCACATAGTTAGTTATGGCACATTAGTTATTCGCACATAGGATAACAAATTGGTACGGGTATCACAGAGTTGACAAGGTCAACTCTATTTTTTTCTCGTTTTAAACTATTATTTTCATATTATATACGGAATAGAAACACACATTATGTACAAACATTGCTGCAAAAATATTTTTCATCTATAATTTATTCTTCTATAAAGTTCTAATTAAATAGAGAAAAAAAAAAATTTAAATTCTAGATGAAACACGTTTTCTCCATTTAGATAAAGACCTTTTTCGATATTTTTTCTCTTTTTTTTTTTGAATATTTTCACAAAATAGTAAGAAAACACAAAATTTCCATTAAATTCATTTCAATAGCTCTATCCTTTTTCTTTTATATGCGGTGGTGTACAAATATAATTGTGGCCGAACCGTTCGTATATTTACTTAATTTCAAATAAACCATTGATTCACTATACGTATATAGTCTATATCACTATAATATTGTACAAATTAATAGTTTTTGAACATTGAGTTCATATTAGGTTTGAAATCAAAATATGACATTTCTTTCTCTAATAAACGAAATTTGAATATCAAATATTGAATATAATTTTGAAGAAACTTCAGTTCGTAATACACTTTATAGGTAGCAATTTTATTTTCATATTATAGAGTACATACTTTTATATGATCAATTAAATTATTAAAATATTCAAAGAATGTTTTTTTTGTATTCAAGAATTTTTAAGGCTTCAAAACTTGACCAAAAATTTATCGTAAATATTTTATAAGTAAAAAAATTTTGTTCAAAATATTGAGTAGGTGGATGTATTCAAATGAGAACGTAAAATACATGTGAAAATTTCAATAACTTCAATAAGTGTATGCAAATATGCTCGTCCCTGTTAAAGAATTTTAATTTGAAATTGCATTACTGAAAAGTAAAAAATAAAAACGAAATTTAAAAAAGTAAAAAACTAAAATTCAAAATTGATTTTCTAAAAGTTTAAGTAAAAAGTTTGCAATTTCTATTTGAGAACGTGAGTATATGATGACCAACTTATTAATAAACAAACTTTGCAAAAAAAAAGTTCAATATTTGATTTTCTCTTTTTCTGTCATTTCCTTTGAGAGAATAAGTGCATTTACCAACCAACAGGAAAGCTTTTTAATATAAGTTTACCTCAATTTTACTCTGCACATTTAATTTACAGTAATCATTATATTATAAGCTCTCAATTAAACAGTACCTGTTACTTGGATAACAGTGTTATTTTAATTTTGATTAATAATTTGAAAAATATTATTAAATAGAGAGAAAACTATAATAGGTGTTCAATTATATTACAATAACATTGTTATATTAAATGTCCACCGTTTTTTGAAATTTTTGGTTCAAAATTTGAGTAAGTGAGAACAACATTTAATGAAGAGATGCTGCAATTAGAGCTTTGACATAAAGTTTTGTTGTAATTTCTTTTCATCGCAGCATTAAACTCTTTTAATTCCTCAAGAATTTTTTTAAAAAATTAAAGTGTTGTTAAATTTATTGTAAGTTTCTTTCAATTCCCCAAATTCCATTTGTTTAATCAGAGAGCGTAATGACTTGTACAAAATTCTGTATGAAATATTAAGCCTGCTTTTCAATTATTCCAAATATTTTTAATATTAAATATAAATTTAAATAATCAATTTTTTAAAATAACAAAAATTATTAAAGAATTCGAATTATCATAGGCATATTATAATATTTTTAAAGCTTTAAGAATATCAAAAACAAAAAAAAAAATCTGTAACTTAAAATCATTATTTTAATGAAAATCTATACCAAGCTCTTTACATATTTTTCATTCATAATCCTCTTAAAGACATCACATTTTTATAAATAAATAAAATATAACCTTGTACCATAGCTCGAGTATATAAAAGTAATATCCTTTCATATATTCCTCTATTATTCAACATAATACTACTTAAGTATATACATACATACATACATGTATACTTTTTATAATAATAGTATAACAAACTGACTATCGATTAAATACATGTGCGGTATAATATGTTAATATGTATTATATAATATCACACATGTATATATGAGTGGAATATAAGTAATATACGTGTGTATATAGAAAATGTAGGTTCTGATTTCTTTTGAATTTTATATTTTTGTTAATCATTAAATATGTCCTTATACTGTTGTGTTGGTTTTCTTTTTCTTGATCCTTGTGGTTTGACTTAAATATAAAAATGAATTCCCATAAACATTAATTCTTCTCAGTGGATTATCAAAGCTACCATATTTATTTTCCTTTTTAATTTTTTCTTTTTTTTTTTTTGGTTTTATTATTATTTTGTTGTGTTTGCTATTATAATATATGTTTGGTTACATAAATATTATTCTATATGTATGACATACATATAATATGAACAATATTATTATTGGTTTTCTTTTTTTGTTACTCTTAAGTTCAGATTTATTTATCTTTGATTACACAAGTAGTACATAACATTCACATACATACATAAAATATATAATTTTCATTTTTATTTTTTTGTTGTAAACAGTAATTCTCATCACCGTTAATATTTAATATTGTCTTATATAACATAAGTTAATTCATTTCATTATGCGTATGTTTGTTTGTACATGCATATAACACTTATAATGTATATAAGTGTATGTATATATAAAAATGTCATTGCCACAATATATAAAAATGATAAAATAAAATTATAAAAATGTCCTCCTTTTTCACTCATATACGTACCCACCTCATCTTGTATAATAATAAAATCATTATAAATAAGAAAAATGTATAACAATAGTAATATTTTTATTTTTTGTTTTTCTTTGTTTTATTTTGATTTTGATCCTGTTGTGTTGTTTATGATTTATTATCACCTCATAAGATCTTTAATGCTATATAAATCTGTCCCTAAATAGATCTAATTTTTTTGTTTTTATTTAACTATACATAACTACCCTATAGAGCTATAAAATGGGATAATATTTTTAGCTATATGGCATGAATGTATAACTAAAATGTTAGGCTCTGTTTAATGTTTTGCCTCCTAGCATTATTATATTTTTACTTTGTATTTTTAGACTAAACGATAGTAATAAAATATAGTAAATCCTAACTAGAATATATTGAAATTAATGTCTTAAAAATCTAAAAAATCAAATACATAATTCTGCTCATCCTATATATATGATTTGTTTTAATTACAGTATATTGTTTAGCGTATCAATGCTTATACTATTTCAGTTATAAGGTTGAAGAAAGTGTCGCAAGAAGAAATATTTGTCTGTGATAAAAAATTAATGAAAACGGTGATGGGACAATTCCAAATTTAATGTGATGGTTCTAAAAGAAATTTTAAAATTTATTTTATATACAGAATTAAATATTGTGAATAAAACGTTATAAGACTCTGGCTTATATCAAATATACCACAATAAACTAGCGTATAATACCACCAAAAATACGACCTTTTCGAAACAATCCTTAGAAGATTTGCTGAATCAAAGTATCGCTTAAAATAATATGAGGTTTATGATTTGTTACTTATTTAAAACGAAAATTTTTGTGATCGCGGAGTGTGTAATATCTTTTTGATATCCCGATTGGATTGGCACGATTTAGATTTATTGTAAATAAAAATGTGTTTTAAAAGAATTTCAATTGTACTATCCAGCCTTCTTAATTATGTTTTACTCTTACATATATTGTAATTAAAGGACTGAATCCCTCCAAGTGTCATTTAAATATTTCCTGTTCATTTTGTACAATTCATTTTTGAATTTTATTCAATAGTATATATAAGGAAATCTTTATCTTAATAAATAAAGGAAAAGATTTTTTTTTCAAATAAATTTTTGAAAACATTGAATTTTCAGTTTTTAAATAAACTGTTCACGTGTATTAAGAACGCATCCTCCCAACTGTGTTTATTTTGGGCCATTCGTTTAAATTACGTAAACTCACTATAGTAATAATAATGTTATATATATGTGTGTGCACTGCTAAAATAGAAATTTTTTTTAACTAAAAATTTTATATTTTTTTAATTCCTTTTTTTCAGGTTTCTTGGTACCAAAATTCATTTCCGTTACAACCAACAGATAGGAGGTCCATGTCATCAAGAGGAAATCGACATACATTAAATATACGACATGTCCAACAGGATGACTTCGGTAACTACAGGTAATAATTTTCATTATATTTTTTTTATATTTTTTTTTTCCTTTTGCCTTCGTATTTATAGTTCAGATCCTAAATCTTATCCAAATATAAATATATAATATGTACACGCATAAAAAAACAACTATCTACCTATTATATTTACATATAAGGACTTATTTACTTTTAACCTATATTGTATAATGTCAGTTTTTGTATAGATTTATCTATGTACAAATAGTATGATTTTTAATTGTGTTGAATGTTGTGTCCTTAAAATAAAGGTAATAAATTAATTTTTGGTTTTTGCATACCAGGTATCTATGTATGAATAGGTCCATATTACCTATGTATCTTATGTGTGTGGAGCTTACAATATCTACATCTATACCGTCATAATTTTTTTTTTATTCTAGGGTCACAGAAAAAAAAGAACGAAATCTATAATAAAAAATTTCTTTTGAAAAAAAAAATAAAATTCTTGTCAGGGATGAATGTTAAAATTTAATATCAAAGATAACAAGACGGAGAAATTTTTCTAATTTCGAAAGCAATTGTCACATTTTCGAGATTTATTAAAAAATTTTATATCAAGTCGGTTTAAAACAAAATTGAGTAATTGTAAATGGTTTAGTAAATACCTAAACCTACTAGTACAGCTTGAGTACTCCGTAATTTAATACGAAAGTGCCTAAGTATAGTTTGATGATTTGTAATAACACTATTAGAAATTCGAATTTTCAATTGCTTAAACTAAATTACATGAAAATTTAATAGGAATTATTGGTAATCAAGTCAAAGGTTTCAGCTTAATTTTATTTTAAATGTGTTATTTTGATTTGTTTCTTGAAACCTGAATGCTTATTCAATTTATTTTAAAATATTTTGCTTTTTACAGTAATTAATGAGTTGAAATTGATAATGACAGATACAATTAGGGTTAAAGCTTCTGTTTTGATTTGAAACATATTCGAGAATTTGGGACGCATTCGAAAATTTGGAATTCAATATCTAAGTTTCAAAGTTTTCTTCACACTTTGTCAACAGCAATATCTTTTGTTCCTTAGAAAAAACGTTCCTCTGCTCTTTCAATTACAATTTTATATTCTCTTCTTGTATGCGTACTTGATATTATGAAAACATCATCCATCCCTGTTACCGACAGAGAAAGAGAGAGAGTGAGAGTGAGAAATGGAATTAGTTTGTGTGATACAGTGATTATTCACTTATATCATCAAGGATATAAATTTAATACTGTTATAAAACTATGGATACGTGCACTATATAAAAGATATACAATATGTATATAATGTATATACGTTCTGATTTATGTACTCTTGTGAAAAAAACATAGAGATTCAGTAAAACTAATATTATGTAAAAAGGAGAACCTAAGTTCCTTCCATTTTTTTTTTCTCTTTTGATTATACCAAAAAGGTAGTTATTTTGATGAGAAAAAAAAAAGTTACTTTCTTGTTTTTGATGTTTTTGAATGAATTTTGATAACAAACTTTTTTCTATACTTTTGCAGTTGATGGGTAAGTGATTGGTTTTAATAATAATATGAAGTCATCGATTTAGGATTTTTTTTTTTTTGATGAACAAACAAAAAAGATAAATTTGCAATTTTTTTTTTTGCTTTTTTTTGAAGATTTTTCATTAAAATTAAATTTTTTGTGTAAAATCCAACCACAATTTTAATAGCCTATGCAAAGAAATATGGCAATTTTTAACAATTTGAAGCTCACATAGATTTTATAGCTAAAAAAATAGAAGCAAATTGAGAAAATTGAACAAATTTTTTGATTTAGTTTTTATGAAAGGATCAATTATGAATTAATTTGGTTTGCACAGATACAAAATAAAATTATATCTGCACATTCTGGCCATTATTCTCAATAAATTTCGTTCATTTGTTTAGAAGAGGTAAAAATCAATTTTAATTACAAAATATTAGAATTTCTGAAATATGATTGTATATGAAGATCGTTTAGGCTATGTATATGAACATAATATATATGTGTGTAGATCAGTTAAATGTTGATATCAATTTATTTCGCAGGAATTTTACTCCATTTCCCGATAAATTTCGTTTTATTTTATTTTCTTTGTATGCATCGAAGATTCTGCCATTTAGTAACAATCACTGGCGGTTATGATGAATAAATGAGTGAAGTTGCTTAAATACTGCGGCTTTCCTTGCATAAAATTTTCAGAATTAATGAAAAACAAACTACAATCAGTAATCATGAATTTAATAATACTAATCCCATAAACTAAATCTTATTTTACCGCAAAATACCCTTTATAAAGAATTTTTTTGAAAAGTATTTAGAAACGCTTAACTTTTCCATTTTTATAATGTTTATTGTATAAATAGCTTTTGTTTTTTCTCTCTTATAACTTTCATAAAAATTTATAAAAACAAAGTATTTACTCTTTTACCTCAAAACAATTAATCATCATTAATAATTTTGAAAATGACCCTTGTCTTTTGAGAAAATAGAATGCAGAATACAAAAATAGCGAACAATATGAAATAAAAATGGTAACCAAAAGATACATAAATGGTAACATAAAGATATCCAAAAACTAAATGTGAAATTTACCAAAATAACTTACAGAAATAAAAATTTTATTCACTAAAAATACAACATTTTATTATTTTTTATTGTTGTTTTTTTTTGCTATTATTCCGCCTGTTCGGGTTATCCTTTTCCTTATATAAAATTTTATTTTGTTTACTTTTCTGTTTTAGAAGGTTTTGTTTTTATATTTATGCCATTTTCTTGCCTTTTTTTCTTTATAGTTGTGTTGCTGATAATACACTTGGCAGATCTCGTAAATATATGGAATTATCTGGTCGTCCTGGTGCTGCAGAATTTCATTCACCAAAATGGGGTCGATCTCCAGATAGTTATAATTTAACCTGGAAAGTTGACAGCTATCCACCACTAGAAGAAGTTCGTTTACTTTACAGGAGACTTTTGGTAAGATTTATTGACTTTTTTACTACGAAAATTTTGTTTTTTTTTTGTTTATTTTTGCGTTAGTTTTTGTTTTAATCCCTACGTTCTTGTCAAATGCAGAAGAAGAAATAACACGAAAATTATTTATATACAGAAATCTTCAGAAATATTACAAGATTTCTAGAGGGTAGAAAAACAACTATAGACGATATAAAAATATTTCCTAATATACAAGAAACAACTTATGTATAAGGAAAACCAAAGTAGAAAAGGAAATTGCAGGAAATTAAGACATTTTTATATAAGTAATATGAGATGAAGGTAAAACAACGATGACCTTTTGAATATTAGATTTCTTTAACTTACTGTGGCTACAATTACCATTATAAATGAATTGATTTTTATTTATTTTTTCGTTATTGCTGTAACAATAGTCAAGCAATTTGAATTTCAAGTAAAATTTGGAAGATTTTGTAAAAGTTTTCTATTAAGGTTTAACTTTTACGATAAAGTTTAATTTGAAGTTTAACAATATCTGTGAAATTGTTTGAAAACAGCATGTACAATATAAATGAATACTTTACAAGTTTGCCAAATATTGTCATTTTCCTACATAATCAATTATGTTAGAAGAATTGAGAAAGAATGACAATAATTAAAAATATATTGGATGTTTTATTAAGCACAAGATTATAGAAGTCCAAATTATATGACTTTTATAAATGTATTTCAATAATTAGAATCTTTATCCCTGGTCTATTTATAGTGTACGGCGATAATTGTTAGGACAACAATGAATTATTTTAAATTACTTTTATTTGTTAATATGGGAAATTAAAATATAGGTTACTGTAGGCAATACAAAAAAGATTGTCCCTAAAATTATGCAATATTGAATAGAATTAATTTTTTTATGGAATATTATCCAATAGCAAATTAGACTATTGAAAGAGGTTCTCAATGCAAATGGTTTTAAAGGGTGGTTAGCAGGAATAGAATTAAGAAAATTTAATGCATTTTAGAAATATTGAAAATACAAAATTTTTGGTCATCTAGAAGCTTTAATTTCATTTTTTTTGCAGTTTTCTTATATTTTTTGCTCCCTTTTTCATAAATTCTATGATTTCTGAAAAATTCAAAATCAAAATTAGAATTATGCAAAAAATTTCAAAATTCAAATTCAAATGCATTTTATTGTCTACAAGCTGTTTATAACGAGTGTAAAACTTTTAAAAGTTTAAGCTCTTTTAACTTTTTCATGGTAATGTTAAGTTTTTTATTGCAATTATATGCGATAATAATCAAATGTGTAAGTTTATGTAAATGCTATAGATTCAAATGTAAAAATTTACTTCTGCAAAAAGAAAAGAATCGTTAATGTTTACAATAATTCATAGCACACGTAAAAAATTCAAATTACTTTTTCATTCAAAGGCAAATACAAAAACTACATTCTTTTATTTTAATTTCAAATATTTATAGATCTTAAAACAAATGGATTGCCATCTTGTGATAAACAAATAAATACAGAATTTTTCTGTAGACATGGCAGTAAAGTATTGGAAAAAGAAACAATTCTTGCAAGAGTATTTAATTCATAGGTTCCATTGCAATTCATGGTTTTTTCATGCAATACTTTATTCTTAATGATGCAATTGTTAAACTGAACTGTAAAAATTTAAATAAAGATAATTAACGCAAAAATTAACCGGGGGGATATAACCACCAATATGTAAGACAACTAACAGTGAAATTAATCAGTATTCAAATTTTATTGCCAAGTTATAGGCAATGTACAGCTTAGTCTAATTCAATTCCTAACAAATATAATTTTTAGGCAAAATCTGATTATCAAAATTAAGAAAGTAATGATTTTTGTAATTCCAATTTAGAAATTTTAGAATTTCCTTTTACCTCTTTGCGAATCTGGTGTTGTTCATGATTTCATTGAGCTCATTTAAATGATTCCGTTTTCGTCAGTTAAAATTCTTCCATATTTGGTGCCTATAACCTGGCTCATAAGTACGAATTCTAAATAATTTGAATTTAACAACATTAACAGCCATGTAACACACTTGTCGAGCACTTCTTTTCACTTCTTTATTATTATAAATAAAAAATAATGTTCATATTATTCCTGTACGTGTATAATATAGGGGTTTTGAATGCACATATGTTGCATTATTTATTAAATACACATTCAATATTTATATTTTCTTTTATTATCCTTTTATATAGTTATTCCTTGTTATTTATAGATAAAAGATTGAATGATTTTATGAATTGTTTTCTTTTTTTTCATTCTTTTATTGTACTCAAATAATGCTCTTTGAAGATCCAGATGTATAGAAGAGCCCCATATGAAATATTAAAAAAAAAATTATAAAATCCAAACTTTAACCAAGATTTTTTTTTGTTTTTTTTTTTTTCTTAAATAAATAACGTCACTTTTAAGTAAAATATCTAGTGTATGAGTATGAGGTAAATAAAAAAAAGGATATTTGTTTTTTCATTCATTTTGATATCTTTACGAAAAAATCTTCTTTATTTAGAAAAATTTAAAAGTTGCACTTTTAAAAACTTTAAAAAGTTTTTTTTCCTCTTTATTTATCCTTGTTTTTTTCTATTCATTTTTTTTATAACAGTTACTATATTTTTTTAATAGTCTTAGCTGCGGCATTTATTTACTCGTACTCACTATAAACTCGTATTATAAAATGTTATAAAATTCTTTATAAAACAAAAATCTTAAAGAAATTTCTTTTGATGTCGTTAAGCCCAATGATTTCTTTAGAGGCATATATGATACAGAGTGTGTCTTTAAAAATCAATTACTGCTACGCGTACTCACGCTATGTGTAAAAGTTAGACCGTATGGAAATTGTGTAAGGCCAATGTGTAAATGTTGTAAAACATTCATAATTTGCAAGAATCAAGAATTAAATGCAGTAAAATCTTGTCACTATTTTAGACCCTAAACTCAAATACTAGTAAAAGAACGGGCTTCTAAAGAACAGGTGCAGATTTGAAATGCACTTACAAAACCAGTTTTTGAAAATAAATTTTTAAATTGCAATTATTTTGAACCAAAATCCTTCTTCTTTTACGGAAAAATTTTTCATATTGAATTTTTGTTACATAACACATTCTTCAGTATTGTATGACTTGCTTAATGCAATTTTCGTATAAACTCCTGTTAGGCACGTTTTTCATGCTTACACCTTGTATTTATGTGCTTTATTCTGTATTTGTATAAAATTGTTGGAATAATATTTTGTTAACGAAAGAAAACCATAATTAAATATTTACTCAAAAATTCATATGTACATACGTATGTGTATTTACCTGAGGTATTTTTTTTGATTAGGCTCTTATTTGATTGAAACCGTTTTATTTAACAAAAGCAAAAACAAACCTGTTTTTCTCTTCATATTTAAAATGATGCGGTATTCCAATTACCTCTTTTCTTTTAGTACACAAACTTATTTCAGTCTGTCGTTTCTTAAGTTAATACACATTTATGTCTTTTCGAAACCATGTATGCATACATTGTGTGTGTATATAGATTTAAGGATAAATATTAAAATGATCTGATTTTAAATTAAACATAATAAAGGATCTCGTTTGATTTAATCTCAATAAATTATTTTTTTTTTAAATAATTCCCTCAGAAAATGATCTAATTTTTATATAATAAATTACTAGAATAAATAATATTTCATTACGGTAATTTACATTATGATTCAATAATAAAATTCAAACATCTAATATACTCAGACAAAGTAAAACAAAAGTCGTTTAGAACAACAGAATTATAAAAAATCCTTAAATATGCTCTAATTTTGGAATTAAAATGAGAGCATATTTAGTAGCCCAATTAAAGCTCATTTTTAAAAATTGAAAAATTTAAGAAGTGAAGAATGTGTGTCTTTTTCTAATTTAGTATTTAAATGCGTTGTCTCTTTAATATTATTAATTTTCTTCAATTAATCCTCTCTAACATTATTTCTCAAATAATTATTAATTATTATTTTTCTTTTATTTTCATAGATGAATGAAACATTCCAACAACCAGGAAGATGGCATGATGTTATTTTAAGACCAGAACATCGTTCAAGTGCTGAACCATTAACACATATAATGTCATATACAATAAGAAATTTACATCCGGGTTCAGTTTATGAAGCAATTGTTCAAGCTAAAAATCGATATGGTTGGAATGAGGTAAAATTATATTACAAAATTTACTTAATTTCTGTAACTAAAAAAATTCATACTAAAAGCAATGGGATTGAAATAATTCCAAAAAAAATATTCATTTTATAAAATTATCTATTTTCTACGAAAAATTTGAACAAAACTTTCAATTCCTTGAATGGAAATAATAATATTTCTGATGAAGTTACATACATATACACTTGCATATATTTTATAAACACACAATATTTTATTCAATCGAAATTCAAAAGAAATAAACGAACCTTCATTCACATTCATAACATCCTTATTTGCCAAAAGGAAATCAAAATTATGAATTTTTCAAAAATAAAATTTTCCTCTTATATATATGATGTACATATATAGCTAGTTTTTTAATTAATTATAAATCAACTTTAATAACTAGATTTTTCCATTTAATTTTATTATCTACATTCATTCAAGTATCCATAAACACTAATACAAATGTATCATAAATATACACAAAAATAAGGTCTATTTTACTTTCAAAAAAATTTTTATTTCCTCATAATTTTATTTCTCTTTTCTCATTTTCATTTCACATTATCTCTTCAACAGGTCAGTGATATTTTTCAATTTGTTTTGGCACGCGATTATCATGCCGATGATACAATGGTTGTTGCCAGTTCAACGTCACGTGGCAGTGGTTCTGAAACTTTACATATTCTCAATAGAACGAAAACAATTGACAGTCTTTTAATAATTTTATTAATTAGTTTTACATTATGTTTAAGATTTATTAAAATTCGTGATTTTTATGTTGGATAATTTTTCTTATAATTTAATTACTATATATATATAATACATTATATTAAATTTAAATAATTAAAATATTTATAATAATTAATACACATAAAAATTCTATACATATACGTATATATGTCCCTATATATAATATATATATATATATATACATATATAAATTAATTATAATATGTATTGATATTTTTTAATTAATTTAAAAAATTAAGTTTAAAAATAAAAAGGCGAAGCGAATAGAGACAGATTGAGAGAAACTGAGAGAGAATATGTAAGAAGAAAATTTCAAATTAGTTTTGAAAAAATTACACTGTAAATCCCAAAAACTTGAGGAAAAGTTAAAAAAAAAAAATTAATTATAAAAAATTAAGAATAAATTAAAATATTTTCTCTTTAGTTATGTACAATTATTAATATTTTTTTATTATATAAAATAAATTAAGAATTTAAAAAAATATTGTAATTTATTTTTATGTATTTTTTAGAAAATCTAACCAAAAAGAAAAAAAACACAAAAAAGTAAAAAAACGACAAAAAATTAACTTTAAAAAAAAAAAAAATTTGGAAAGAAAAAAAATTTAAACCAACACTCTTTTTTATAAATAAAGAAAACCCAAAAAAAGAAAAAATTAAAAAAAAATTTTACAAAAAAAAAAAATATTATACAAAAGATAAATTTAAATTAAAAATTAGGTTAAATGAAATTTAAATTAAAAATATTTAGAATAAACAAATTTCTTGAAGGATATTAAAATAACAAAACAATGAAAACAAAAAAAACATAAAAAAATTACGAAGAAAATTGTCTAGTTTAAAAAAAAAAAAGAATAAATCAAAAGTAAAACAAAAGTCGGAGAATTTAATTTACTTTGTAAATTTACCAACTGAGTGAATCTATAAGAAAATGAGTGTCTTCTCTTGAGTCAAACGTAAATGAACTTAAGTACGGGTGAATGAAATCCAAACAAAATTAAAATTCTGGTGAAGTTCGAGATTACGATTTAAGCACAACATTCTGTGTGAGTCCAAATTAAATAATTTGCTTTTACATCTTTTAAAAAATTTAAATCAACACCATTTATTGGAATACAGTAGCAATAATAAGAATTCGAATTGTTATCATTACCAAAAATTATTACAACAATAATAATTAAAAGTGTCATGGATCAAAGTCAAATATAATAAAAATTAACCTAATTTTACAGCAAATTATTTCGGTAATTTTAAAATTCACACGGCTTTAAGAAAAAAAGGCGTGTTATATTATGCATTTACATTCTACTGCCAAAAATTAGATTCTAATAAAAATTATAAGTAACGAAAGTAATCATGACATTGTTCGCCATTAAATTGAATCTCTCTAAAATATATAATGTCACTTGAATCATTGTTTTTTGTCAAAAACATTACGTGATTTCAAATGAATTTCAAGAAGTCATCTTTGAAAACTCTTTTCGACTTGGAGAATATATTAAGTTCAGAGCCATAATTTCAAAAATTTCATTCAAATCAATTAATTTTTATTAAAATTATTTATTGTAGTTTGTTTCACAATTCTACGAAATTCCGAAATCTTGAATTGATTTAATTCCGGTCCACATGCAACAAATTTATTAACCACTCAACTCATTAACAGTAAAAGTAAAATTTTTCTAATTTTCACTCCAAAAAACAGAGAGCACGAAAACAATATTCTTCTCTTAGAAAAAGTGTGTTATAAAAAAAATTTTTACGCACTTGAACGAGTAATTAAAGGAATGAACTAAATTTGAAAATCTAGCTTCCAATATTTATACCGTTAGTAATAGATTTTCGTTAAAATTTAATTCATTTCACATTCTTCGTCGTGTCATTGAATTGAAAACATTATTTGAAACACTCATATTTAATATCCACTTTCACTAGATTTACAAAGTTGTGTAGCGAATTGTTAAATTTACAATCAAATTAAATAAAATCCAAACTCTTTGAAAACAAAAAATTTCAAGCATTAAAACGATATTGTATTATAAAAACAAAAAAAAAAAAAATATAATTTATTAAGTGAAATTAATTATAAAGTAAAATTAAAAAATATTTTTTTTTTTTTGAAAATAAATGGATAATTATAGAGATAGTAGAGAATAAGAAAAATCGAAAAAAAAAAATAAAAAAAAAAAATTAACAATTAAATAATTATGTTGTTAAATTGTAAATTATAAAATTAAAATCATGAAATAGCAATAGTTTTAAATATAATAAAAATTATGTAGGTATTTAGTTTAAAAAAAAAAATAATTTTCGAAGTCAAGTAGGTTTAAAAGCATTTTCTTATTTAAATTTTCATAAAAATTTTCATTAGAAATTTCGTTGAAGCAATTTTTAAAATTTCACCAATTTCTATTCTTTGAATCTTGCGTCTTCATATCACTATTCATTTTATCTTAGATGTAACACGAAAAATAATTGATATCTTTGAACATGTTAAGAGCACTGCCCGAAATATTTTTATAAAGAAAAACAAAAGTTCACAAAAACGAAAAACATTCTCATAAATTGTTTTAAACAAGATAAAATTTAAGACAAATTGGGAATATTTTTTTTTCCAAACACTTACCCACCAAAAACAAATCCCAATATTTTTCGCTCAAAATTGTGTAATTTCGTAATTGAACATAAAATTTTTGGGAAGGCCAATGCCGGATTTTACATATATGCAAAGTTAGCAATTGCAATGGACGTTGGAAAACAGGGGCGCATTACGAAATAAAAAATTTTTTCTAATTTATTCCATTACGTATTTTCCAAAAAATTTTTCTTTCCATTTACAGCGTAATTAATTTGATAACACGTTCTATATATATACAAAATATTTCAATAACAATAAGCTGAAAGTTTAATTCCAGGCCTTAATTGTTTATTAATGTAAGAAAGTGGTTTATTATATGCAATGTACAATATTTATTGAATATTGTTCATTGCTTTGATACTGTATTGGCGGAGGGGAAAAGGGCGCCGAACAAGTCAGCACCAGGCCTGTTTCAGGCAAATGAATATTCTACAGCAATGTCGCAATTTTATTTTAATTTATCAAAATATAGTCGAATAAAATATTATCAATTGCATTGCAATGCAATATTATTAATTTCAGAAATCAGCACAATTCAAGTTTTACTAAAACTTACATAGATCCGGTACACTATTAATTTTTTTTTTTCAAAGAATCAATCATACTACTCTCATCACCTTAGTTTTTCATTCAAAAAATATGAAAATTCTATAAAAACACCTTTGCTTTTCGTCACCTACAACTACACGAGCATACCAAACCTTAAGGCACCAATTATTTCCTTCTTATAATAATGTTTATTTATTTATTTTAAGTGTTAATAAAAGAAATTCGCATATAATCAAAAATACGTACTAGATCATAAGAGAAAGTAAAATATTTTTTTGTTCTCCTAAGAAACCTACTTGAAAATCTATATAAAATTAATTTTAATTTAATTATATTCCAAAATTTATTATGTTTCCATAACACTCTTAGCTATTATGAGAAAAATTTCATTTATAATAATATTAATAAAAATCATAATATTATACCCTATTACCATTTTATAAATATAAATTCCTAAATTTATTTATAATTAAAACAATAAGTATAATATTTTAACTTTCTTCGAATTTCTTCATCAATAAAATTTTCGAATAGATTTTTTCTCATATAAATATTTTCGAGAAAAGTTTGAATAGTTTTTAATTTTCGATTTTATTTTATAGAATTTCTAGTATAATTTTCACAATTTATTGGATAGAATAAACCAATATATAGCAAAGGAAAAGAAAAACAAACAAAAATTATTGAAAGTCATGAAAGTTACAGAAAATTTCAGTGAAATTTTTATTATAAATTTGATTCTGGTATACAAATACAATACAAAAATTTCAGATATAATTTATTCCTATACTACTCTCAATTTAGATTCTCCTGTTCTCATATATATGAAGAGATTTACGATGAGTATGGATGAAATTTTAATTATGAGTAAAATATTTGTTTATGAAACTCATACTGTTATGCTACTGTTATGAGTACTTTAAATATTCCTATACTCGTATAATTTTATTTTCTTATTAATTTGAGTTCTTCACTATGAACTATGAATGTTAATAAAATAGTGAAATAGCTTTTGAAAATTATATTTTCAGAAATTCAAAACTCATGAATATTATGGGCCAAAAATTATGGTTCAATTGATTGAAATTCTTATATATATTTATTATTCAATTTACAAAATCAAAGAAAAATTTTTAATTTCTCTTATACTTGAAATTGCACTGAATCCTGATTTTTATATGCAAAAAGAAAAAGAATAATACCTAGTTTAAATCTATATAAAAAATTTCCTTTAAATTGTAAATACACTCTTAATCTAATGTTGTGATCACGCGTTAGAACATTAAAATTTCAATATAATTATTATATAACATTATCTATATTGAAATTATACAATATTGAATAAACATATATATTTGTATAAATTCATAATCTATTGATATTATTGAAATATATTAATATAATTTTCAGGTTATTATCACACATACATACATACATCCATCATACATTCTTATTATAGCAAATTTGCATTAATTTTAAAGTATGTGCTATTGTATTGGTAAAAAAATAATAATGAAAATTTCTAAAATTATTACTCGAATTTTTTATTTAATATTTTATTTACAGACAACAAACTCTATATTATTAATAATAATTGTATATGTACATATATATTATTATTTATATAATATAATAAAACAAATAATAAAAATATAATTATTCATTATACATAATATCTACGATGTATGTATTTAAATATAGGAAATAGAAAAAAAAAACAAGAAAAATTAAATATAAAAATTGTAATTCCTGCATGTAAATAAAGCGAAAAAAAAATGATTTTTTTTATATTCATTTTATTTATTTATTAAGTATATAACAATAAAATATTTTTTATATTTTATATTTTGAAAATATTTATTCTAAATTTAAATATTTTCATAAAAAAGAAAAGGATTATCATTAAGTGTTTTGTTTTTGTATAACAGTTTTTCGAATTTTGTAATATAAATAAAATGAAGTTCGTGTCAATAAATCATTAAATTTCGGCGGAGTTCAATATAATACTATTAATAACATGAATAAAAAATAAATAAAATATTATAATAATTTTATGTTTTGATTTATAATAAAAATATTACAAATTTATTTTATACAATGTTGAATTTTATTTCAGAAAAAGATAGCTATGTTTAAACAATAATATTTAAATAAACTTCTTTTTTGATAATTTTTTCCCTGATAGCAATAACAGCTCCATTGGACAGATATTCAAAATTTTTGTTTTCATATCAAAAATTGCAATTTAATTTACATGAGTAGGCAATGAGCCCCAGTTTATCATTAAATTTTATTTTTAAAAGTTTTCAATTGTCGGAAAGGCAACTGCAGCTACTATTCCACGAACATTCGACAGGACAGTTTGCCACACATACTTCCATCACATTTGTAATATACTTGAATTTTTTTGTATTATAGAATGTAGCAAACATTTTAATTACATGTTTATTATTACTAAATAAGGCGCTCCGAAGCAGAACGGCATCCATACAATCAAAAAAAAATTATTTTTATTATTGCAATCGATCGTGTATGTCTCCTAGATTTAGAGATTTTAATTCCCAGTTTCGAAATTGATTGTTTGCCCAGTACATTTATGACAAAAATATTTTAAGAAAGCTAATTAGGATAAACCGAATTGTGGTTAATATTGATCGAGTTTTCTTAAAAAATATTTTTACAAGCTATACGCAAATTTTAAGCTTGATATTATTTTTATTCTCAATCATAAACAATTTTTAATTTAAATCCAACAATATTATAATTTTGTATATTGAACACTTAATTCACATTTGTAAAGTGTTCATAAGTTCAGCGACCCAAATTTAATGTGAAATAAGAATTTGGTTCTATGTTTTTCTTCTATACAATATTAATACTAAATTGGGTCATTAATCAAATGCATTAAATTTTTTTTAAATGGTGTGTTTTTTTGGTTCAATAACCTTTACAGTACGAAATTAATTGCAAAACTATTAAAATATAAATACTTTAATAAAAAAATTTTTTTTTATAAATTTTCAATAGATTTTATTTAAATATTTTATCAGCATAATCACACATTAGTTATTATGATTAATTTTAAATTAGAAAAATCAAAATAAAAGCAAAATCAAAAAATATGAAAAATTACAAAAAAAAATCCTTTAAATTTATTAACATGAAACTTCATTTTATTTTTTTTTAAAGCAATTGAATTGCGGAAGGAAAATTAAAATATTTGTTAACAGCTTCATTTTTTTCTTTTGTTTTACCTCAAATCCCTTTTGAAACAAAAAAAAATCGAGTTCAAAAAAATTAATATTACATTTTCTATTCACCTATTATTTTCAAATATTCATTCAAAAATCCAATGCAAAATGAACATAACAATTTTTGTTTCTTTATGTTTTTGTATGAATGTACCTAATTAGTGTAAAATATTTCATCAGTAGATAACAAAAAAAAAAAAAAAATAAATAAATATATATAATAAAAATACATAAGAAAAATAGAGAAAACAAAAAAAATGAGAAACGAAATAAAAAAGGCGGAGCTGAATTAATTATGTATAATATTTAAAACCAAAAAAAAAAAAACAAAAAGGATATTATATTGATAATGTATTATTATAATTATTATATATGAAAAAAAAACAAAATTATAAAGAATATAAATTTAGAACAGATAAATTTACTAATAAATAAGAGATTATTAATAATTAATAAATAAATGAATAAAATTGAATTAATTGATAATTATTAAACGTAATTAATTAACAAGAAATTATAATGATTATAATTATTATTAAAAATAAGGATAATTAATATAAAAAATTAAAAATAAAATAAAGAACAAAAGAAAAATTTAACAAATAAGTGTAATAAGAACTAAAAATGATTATAAAAATAAAAATAATAATAATAA